GCCTCGCCCGACGGATATTGATTTCCAAGCTTTGGCCTCCACCGCTTTATCAATTATTTGGGCAAGTCTCTCCATGCACAGAACAAAGAGATAGGGAGAGATAGGGTCGCCCTGTCGAACTCCACGAGTTGGTTGGAATTCCTCTCCAATTGTCCCATTCCATAGGATGTTCATCGATGCTGAGCGCACGCAGGCCATGATAGCCGTAGTCAAGATGTCCGGATATCCTACTTGTTTAAGTGTTTCTTCAATGAATTCCCACCGGAGGTAGTCATACGCCTTCTCAAGGTCAACTTTGATCACCATATGGCCTTCTCAAGGATTAACCTAAAATAAATTTAAACGAGCACAAATTTGAATTAAGTTATGAAGTGTTAGAGTTAAATTAAATTTAAACTGTGATTGATTCTATTTATGATTTATATCCAATCACACCATAAAAAACTATTTAATCGTTTTACCGAATTATTTTGACTGAATCTACCGAATTACTTTGACTGAGTTTTCAAGTCCTTAGCAAACATGTAAATCCCCAATTTCTCTAACAAATCAGCACATTCACACACATATGACATAACATTTATTTATTTATTTATTTTTTTTTTTTTGGTACAGGGACCTTCCGGTTTCCGGATCCACAGGGGAATCGACTAATCCGGAATCGAGCCGGGTAGGACCATTATGTTATGTATATATGACATAACATATTTTAAAACTTCCACCTAATAAAGAACCCCTCATTCCTATATTTAAACAACATTTTGTTAGCACTCCATAAAAATCCAATCCCAACCTTACTATCAATAGAACTCCAATCAATCATCCCTCCCCTCCAAATCAACAAATCCAAACATGAGTTACTACTACTTGATATCACTCCTTACCATACTCTCTTCCTTTCTCTTCCAAACCTCCTTCTCGACCGAGCCCTACCTCACCTACATATGCACCGGCTCGAACTACACAGAAAACAGCCAGTTCGGGAAAGACCTAAACTGTCTCATGCAAGATCTCAACAAAGTAAACGGGACGGATAATGGGGGGTTCCGAAACGCCTCTTCGGGCCAGGCCTATGGTCTGGCCCAATGCCGCGGCGATGTCAAGCCCGATGACTGCCACGCGTGCATCAACACAACCACATCAGACCTCACAAAAACACAGTGCCCCGGAAGACGCAGAGGGATCAGCTGGTACGATAAATGCTACGTAAAATACTCGGACAAAGATTTTTTTGGACGAGTCGACACGGAAAACTCGCTCGCGCTGGTGAACGTGAAAAAAGCAACCTGACGCAGCGAAAGATTAAACGAAGGAACAAAGAACTCAAGAACTGATATTTTTTATTCATCAACGATTCAATGCCAACATCTGTTCACAGCCCTCAATAAATAGAGTTCCAAACACTAAAAACTCTTACTTATTTCCTAAGAAAAGAAAATAATAACTTTCCTAAATCAACTAAATAAAATAGGCAACTAAATAAATATGATATGCTAAATAAATAAAAATAGGAAACTGAATAATAAGATAATGATCAATGGCGACGTCGGTCTCGTTTCTCCATAAAGGCAAGTGCGATCTCGTCGCCATCACAACCGATGCGGATAACTTCAGCGGAACTGCGGAAAAATTGTTGCGAGACCTGGCGAAAAAGGCTCCTGTGGCCAGAAAACCGAACATGTTCGCGGAGTGTACGGCCGAGCTGCCCGAAAAAGAGAGTGGGAACAGGACGCTGTACGGAATGGCACAATGCAGCATGGACCTCTCGCCGAAAAAGTGCACGAGCTGCCTGAACCAGGCCGTGAGCACGCTTTCGGCGTGCTGCACGAGAAATATTGGCGGGAGGGTTTATTACGGGAGTTGTATCATGCGATACGAGATTTATCCTTTCCTCGGAAAGTGATATCGTGATATCGATCAGGAACTAAGGTTTGGTGGTGGTTTTGTTGTTGTTTGCATAAGTTTATGTACTCTGTGTGTGTGTGTGTGTGTGTGTTTTTGGAATTTTTCTTGTGTTGAATAAAGAAGTTCATGTGGTTTTTATAAGGTTATTATATCCTAAGTCTCGTCATTGTATGGGTCAATGAATATTATATATGTATGAGTGAGTTGATTAATCTTCGTGGTGAACGAATTGGGCTTATGGAATTAGGGGTGAGCATTATTCCGATAAAACCGACAAAGCCGACCGAACCGAACCGAATAGTGTTGTTCGGTTCGGTTTTTTTATTTCCTAATTCGGTTCGGTTTCATTTTTTAAAAAAATCGGTTTATCCGGTTCGGTTCGGTTTTCGAAAAAATAAATTCGGTTTAACCGAACCGAACCGAATTTATGTTATTAATTAGTAAACTTTAATAGTAATGGTCCATTGCCCAATCCAATAGCTAAATAAAATAAATCAAATTTTAAATTTTAGATATGTGTGCCCAAATTTCATAGCCCAACAACTAAATAATAAATCAGATTTTAGATTTTAGAGAACTTGTGATAAAAATTATTATTTTTTGGAACATGTGTTGAACTTATGTATAATTTTGGTTTTCGGTTTTAAAACTGAACCGAACCGATAATTTCGGTTCGGTTTTAGTTCGGTTATTAAAGGTTATTCGGTTCGATTCGGTTCATATTGTAATACAATTTCGGTTTTCGGTTTTTTCGGTTCGGTTCGATTTTCGGACCGAACCGACCGATGCTCACCCCTATATGAAATAATGAATTGGTAAAATCTGGACTGTTCATTTTGATATTATTGTAATAAAATGAGTAACGATTTGTCATATTAATGTAAATCAATCAATCTGGTAGGGGAAATTAGAGTTTTAGTACGTTTAATTAAGTGTTTTCTATTTTTGCCTAACAACTTATTGGTGTCCGAAATTGATCCATTAATTCTTAAATTTTAGCGAATTTTGTCCAATAATTATAAAATTTAAGAGTTATTGAATCAATTTCGGACCAAATAATTAGTTACCGGATTCAAGCGAGATCCGGGGGCGGTGGAGCAAGTCTCTTGAGGTTGTCCGTGGCGTGGTCACTTAGGTTGGTTTTGGTTATATCCCACTACAAAAAAAATTATTATATTCCAACAGAAAATCATATAGTAATATATTTCAATGGAATTTCCGACGGATATTCTAATGATATAGCTTCCATTGGTATCATTGGAATGGTTTCAACGAAAATATTCCGTCAGAATGTGTTTTTCATTAGAACTTTAGATAGAATTTGATGATTCCAACGGCTGTATTTCTAACAGTTTTTTATCGTAGAAATTTCAGTTGGAATATGCAATTTCCGTGTGAATTTTTATTTTTACCCCCGTTGGAAAATCCACCGTTTGATTCGTCAAAATCCAACAGAAATTCCAATGGAAAACTCAATCCAGCGGAATATTTTTGTTGGAATATTCTTTGGAATCCATTGAAATATTCCAACGGAAAATATAGTATTGAAATATTCATTGCAATTGCCGTTGGAATAACTCTATTGAAATATATTCATGTTGGAATTTCATCATTTTTTTGTAATGTCGGCTCTGATCGAGTTATCCGTAAGGGGAGTTTCTTAATCTTTCACTACAAGAAAATGATAAAATTCCAACAGAAATATATTATAATAAATTATTCAAATGGAAATTTCAATGGATATTTCGATGCTATTATTTCCGTTGGAATTTTTTTATGGATTCCCACAGAATTTTCAACAAAAATATTTCGTTGCAATGAGTTTTCCATTGAAATTTTCGTTGGATTACGACGATTCTAACGGTAGATATTCCAACGGTGCAGGAAATAAAAAGTCCAACGGAAATTACATATTCCAACAGAAATTTCTACGGTAAAAAGACGTTGGAAATATAGTCGTTGGAATAATCAAATTTCATATAAAATTTCCATGAAAACACATTTCAACTGAATATTTTCATTGGAATTCCGTTGAAATCATTCCAACGAAAGATATATCTGTTAGAATTTCCATTGGAATATATTACCATAGGATTTTCTGTTGGAATATAATTTTTTTTTGTAGTGCTTGTTTGGGTCATGGGTTGTGTAAATTGTAATTGTCCCTTTGGTTGATTGCCTTGGGGTTGGTTTGAGTGGTGGCAGTTCAGGCATCTTTCGGCTGGTGAGGAATGCTTTATTTTAGAGCTGTCAAAATGGGCCAGCAGAGCGGACCGGCTCGTAGCCCTCCAATTGGCGGGGTAGGGCGGGCTGGCCCGCTATCCTGGCGGACCTACAAAATGCAGGTCCAACCCACTCTGCCTCGGGCCACGAGTTTGGCGGGCCAGGCCTACCATTTTTTTTTTCAAATGCAACCAACGTACAACAGTTGTCGTTCGGGAAAGGATATATCTAGGCGTGCTCGAGGCCCCGATCATTGGCCCGGCCCCATGAGGCCACGACACCTTTGCTTGCTAGCTAGGGCACCTTCGCTTTTCGATTTCTTAGCCATGAATTTGGGTTTGGATTAGATAAAGTTATGGGATGATTTCACTTTGATTTTAGTCATAGGATTCACACACACATGCATTGTGTGTAACCATGCCCATTAGCTATATTGTTAGTTTGTTACCATTAACTATGGTCATTTTCGCAAGGGTGACATGTCATAAATGCCATATTTTCATTGCACATTGCAAAACACGGACTGACGATTAACTCACCTAGGATCCTGAATCACCGAGTCACGAATTCAACCGTCGGACTGATGATTAACCCAAGCAGGATCCTGAATCATCGAGTCTAGACATGGCCAAGGGCCGCCCAGCCCGCCGACCCAGCACGTACCCGGCCCAGACTCGGCCCGGTCAAACCCGTTGACTACGGGTCCGGGCCCGGACCAGAATTCTGAAGGGTCGTGTCAGGATTATCCATTTCTTGACCCGACCCGGCGGGTTGCATTTTTTATTTTATTTTATATTTTTTTCTATTGTTTTTTTTTTTAAATTGACGGCCCCGGCACGGACACGATTAGGTCCGGACCCAGACCCGGCCCCGGTCAACCGGGCCATTGACCTTGCATGAGTATAAGTCTGCCGTGTGTGGGTCATTATTGCTTACAACTAAACAATAAATTTATATTCCTCTTTATATAAATATATACAATGTAAATGTATCATCCTTGCCTGGTCAAGATCAATTTGTAAAGATGGTCAAGGGTTCTGTAAGTCGAGTGTTGTGTTGGATTTGTGTGAAAATGATTGGTGACTTTGTCTTTTTTCTGTGTGATTTGGTGATAGGTTTGTGGAATTGTTCAAAAGATTCATGAGCATAAATGTACATTTTATTCGAATTTCAACCTAAGATCGAAATGGATAGAGAAGCTATTGGTTTTATTGCATATTTTAATTGTATTATTTTCCTTAACATAAATAAAATAGTTATATAATGCTTCCTATATGTTACATGTAGCTTGAGAAATTATCCAAAGCAAACGTGGGAATCTTGAATTGTTCCAACTTCTAAAAGAGGAAAATTGACTGAACGAGTCAGTAATCGAGCTTCGGTCAGTTAAACGTATCAATGAGTCGAGTTCGAAGCTTAACGAACTGAAATCGAACTTTAAAAAGTTAAATTATGAAAAATTATATAAAACACCTTATTGTCGATCTTTAGTGAACCGAGTCGAGCCTAACACGTTAATTTAATAGGAGATTGAACTCGAGCCTAAATGAAACAAGTCGAGTTATATATCGTCCTTCAGAGCGCGCTTGTTTCTTTAGTTTCTTTCGTTTCCTTGCTCCTGCATTGGCACTAACCAATCATCAACCGCGTGCATTGAATGTTTCAACATAAATTCGACCCGGAGAATTTTGAAAACAAATTTGAAATATTTCTAACAAATCAGAAAATAAGTCAAATTCACTCATGAACATTAAGAAAAATATATATAGTGTTGATTGAATAATACTATATTGAATAATTAATAGTGTATCTTTTGTCTATATTGAAGAAAACTTTTCATCCCTAATGGTCAAATGTAATCTTTCAGGATAAAATCATGTTGAGGAATGGAAAAGATCGATTCTAGTTGGCATCATCGAGTTTTTTACCGTTTGATTGGACAAAGTGCGAGTGCGTGTTGATTTAATGGTAAAAAAAAAAAAATCCTTTGAGAGCTGTAAGAATTTAAAATAAAAAAATAAATAAAAAAGAAAACCGATCTTACCTACCCTCGTTGGGTTTATACCGTTGGATCGACACATAGTCAAACGGATTTATGCGTGAGTGTAACTGATTCAATGATTAAAAAAAAAAAAACCCGGTTTAGACAGTCTCTTCACGGTGGAATTTATCAAAATTCTCATCTTGAATTCTTTAGCTGTCATTTATTTATTAAATTAAAATATAAGTGTGACTTCAAGAAAGATTATAGAACCAGTAATAAATTTTACTTAGTATTCTTTTGAGAATATCTTTTTTACTACTGTTTTTCAGCTTAATTCAAATCACATAATTTTCTAGACACTATAATAAATGAAGCATTTATAGGTTTTTTTAGGGGAAAAAAGATTAATAAATAAAAACTCTTGAGCATCTACAATGCATTGGGTCTAGTCTTGCATATGTGACACGTAAATAAACCCAAGTCTTGAATGATATGGATAAAACTATGTAAAATTAATAAAACTCATTCCAGTGCAAAGAGACTAGGTCTCTGCTTGAGTCTAAAATAGACTTAAGGGTAGACTGAGTCTCTTTTTTTGGCTGCCACATAAGTAGGACTCATTCTACTTTTATTTGCATTGGAAAATAATTTTTTTTAGACTGGATCTACTTATTAGGTGTCATATAATTTTTTGGAATTGAACCCAAAGTATTGTAGATGCTCTTAGGGGAGAATTATAGATCGTTTCTTTTCTTTTTTCTTTTTTCTTTTATTTTTTTTTTTTTTTTTTTTTTTTATTTTTTTTTTTTTTTTTTGCATATATATATATATATATATATATATATAAAGAATTATCATTATTTAAAAATAACGAGTCAAATTGTGGTCAAATATAATTGAACATTTATTGCATTCTATTAATAGCAAGTTTTTTATTTTATTTTATTTTTTATTTAAAAATGTGCATCATTAATTATTGCATTTAAATGTTGAGTTTATTATTTATTTTTCCGCAAGATTAGGTTGTTCCTTTTTCATTTTTACAAATTAAAAAAAAAAACTTTCTTTAACATATAATCGTGTACCACATTGTAAATTTTATTTTATTAAAAAAATAAATTACGCCTAATTTAATAATATAAACTTAAGTTAGTATTACAAAAAATCAGAAACTTTTTTAACATCAACTCTCTACATTGTTCTAATCAGATGCTTTTATTTTTATTTTTTAAATAAATTACAATCCATTTATTTGGTGGATTTGGTACATGTAATAAATTACAGTTCATTTAAATAAATTATAATTCATTTAATTGGTGGATTTGCTTCCATTAAGTTCTAAAAATTTCGATCAGTGAATATAATTTGAAATTCAAAATCCTTTCTCATATTTGATTTAAAAAATCCAATTGTGTTTTTTATTCCAAACAATCATATTGCTGAAAAAATTACTTTAAAACTTGAATTGAAAATTTGAAATCCAAATTCCCTTCTCATTTTAGTTTCCATAAAATTTGGCTTAATTCAAAATCTCTTTCAAATATAAAGGATTTTGTTCAAATTGGATTAAAAAATATCTAATCACATGCTTCTATCCTTGGACGGCTAACCTTAAATGAAAAATTTTGCGCCACTTTATAATTAACAAACCTCTTGAAAATTACAAAATTATAATGAATTTCATTTTTTTAGGTTTCAATTTGCACGAACATCAAAATGGTTTAATAATTTCAAATCAATCAAAATTCATCTCTTTAATTTTTTCCATATGTTTCAAAATTTTACAATAATTAAGTCAAATTACAAATGTGTTGTTTCAGAAATCAAGAGGATAATTTTGAAAATAGACAGTTTTTTTTTTTCAAAATTGTCCTAGTTTCCATTCAATATAAAATAAATCTCATTTTATTTGTAAACTTGATAAATCCGCATAAATGTGGAATTTTAAGCGTACAAATTTTTTTTTACAATAACTAAAAAATAATAGTAATATTGAAATCTTATGTACTCAAATTACTTAAAAGAATAATAATAATAATTTTGAAATCTTTTCTACTCAAATTACTCAAAAGAATAATAATAATAATTTTGAAATCTTTTGTACTCAAATTTTCAAGTAAGGTAGTATCGTCGTAATTTTCAGCATCATGTCAATATTTATTTTATATATACTATGTAAATTTCTTTTAAAACTTTATAATGTATTTATTTAGGCTTATAATATTTTAGATAATTTTATATAATATTTTATCATGTCATATTCAGAAAACATCTTTCATACAATTGTAAACTTTAATGTTTTTAGATAAAAAGTTTTTTACAAAAAAAAAAATTAAAAAAAAATTTAGGTGGCTTCACATCTTTTAATAATAATATAGAAAAGTTTAGATAATTTTACATATGTTAATATATTTTAGGAGTTTTTAATTGTTTAAACATACAAATTTTATGTTCTCTTGAACATGCTAAATTTACATCATTTATAATAAACTGATATACCGTAAATTATATGACATGTTAACCCCGCATCGTTAATTTATAAATATTATTTAATATCTTTTACCCTCATTTTTAATTAATTTATAATATATTTCTTGCTCTTTTAAGAAAAGATCAATAGTGGTTCACCACTTCTTTCATTGGGTGACTCGAACTCGATACTTATTTATAATTATTATTTAATATTATTTACCCGTGCATCGCATGGGACACGCACTTGTTGTGATGATATATATTATATTATTAATTACTTTGTTATATGTGTGTGTGTGTCGGTTCAATGAAACGACAATTCAAAGTCGTAATCGGCCTGCCAGTTCTGAACCGAAGCGGCTTAACCGACAGTTTCGATATTTTTTTTATTAGTATTAAAAAGGACTATTGGATCTTCACGGTCAAGACGATCCAATTGTATAGATTTGAATGGTTTCAGTTTCGGACCCGCCCCGACTCGGCCCGAAAGCCGAAAAATCAATTTTTTTTATTATAAAATTTTATTTTTTAGAAAAAAAAAATAATAATAAAATAGAAACAGGCTGCCTGATCTGTTCAGGTTGAACTTGAACCAAAACCGGCAGTTCAAAAAATTTTATTTTCCTTGAACCCGAACCGACCTGGATAATTTTACTGTCTGGTTCAAGGCTCGTGATAAACGGGTTTGACTGGGCTGATTCGACGATAGTTTGGTTTTGACCTCGTCTAATGATACCCAGTAGCATAAGTATGCATTTTCGCTAACGCTTCCTCCATAAATTTAGTAAAAAAAAAAAATTAAATAAATAAATAACCTTTTGTTATTTTAAGTTGGAATTATATGTTAAGACCTTTTCTGACTTGTGTTGAGAATACTAATTTCCCTTTGAACGTTGAACACTATGCTCCACAACCCTCCCACCTCTCCCTAATTAAAAGACCAAGCACTCTCTTCACCCCTATAAATATTGCACTCATCAAGCCACCTCCAAATCAAAAGCATCAAACTAGAAACACCGAAAACCAAATACCAAATCCCATCTCTCCATAGTTACAACACAAGAATGGGTTACTTGACCTTTCTTCCTTTAATCCTCCTCCTCTCAATGCCTCTCCTCTTCCCGACTGCCACCTCGGACGACAGCCCCCTCCTCAATAAAATATGCTCCAACAACTCCGGTACCTACTCTGACGGCGACGCCTACGCGAAAAACGTCAAGTACCTCCTCGACCTCTTCTACAACCGCACGTCCGCCAACAACAGGTTCTTGAAAGAGTCGTGGGGCCCTGACGGCACCTCCGCGGCGTACGGGCTCGCCCTCTGCCGCGGCGACGTCTCGCCCGACGACTGCGACGACTGCCTCTACGACGCCCGATGCAAGATCACCCGGCGCTGCAACAGCACCGCAGCTATGGTGTGGTACGACAACTGTCAAGTCCGATACTCGGACAAGAACTTCTTCGGTAAAATCGACACGGACGACAATATTATTATGATCAACGTGGAAAACATGACCAACAACAATGCAGAGAAATTCAGGGAGACAACTATAGAGCTGTTGACCGACCTGTCGAAGCACGCCAGCAGCACAGAAGAGATGCTTGCCGGAGGGGATCGGTTTTTTAACCAAAACGTAACAGTGCACGGCATGGCGTTCTGCACACGGGATCTCTCGTCAGGCGATTGCAAGACCTGTCTTAATTGGGCCGTGAAGGAGCTGCCGATCTACAAACGGGAAGTGTACAGCGTGGGCGGGAGGGTGGTCACCGCGAGTTGCACCGTGAGATACGAGGAATATGTTTTTCTCCACAAGAAGGCGAATGCCTAAAATGAAGTTGTAACCAATTTGAAAATTAATAATCTCTGGCTAGACACACGCACACACACAACCACACGTTTTCCTTTTATGATGAATAAACTAGGCAGGGTATAATGTACTATCGAATATCTTATGACTTTTGAGCGCACTTTTGAATTGAAGCTTATTTATTACCCAAGCGTCAAGCACCCTACAATATATTTGATCATGGCATGACATGCTTTATAGTAATTCATGATTAATTATTAACACTTTTAATAAATTCATCAGTGGTGAGTTTAAAACAAAAAAATAAAATAAAATAAAATAAAAAATACAGTTTAATTTAGTTCTCAAATTTTGACAGTCCTAAGGTGGGACCAAAGCTATTAAATAGCGAGTCCCTTGTGAGCTCAGTTCGGCTCAGGTTATCTCGTCAATGCTCGAGCTCAGTTCGGTTCATCTATTAACGAGTTGAGTTTCCTTGAAAATAGGAATTTTTATGTAACTTCTTATAGTTCAACTTGTTAAGACTCAAGTTTACATTAAAGGCATGAGCTCAAATTCAGCTGTTAATGTTAATAGACAAGCCGAGCAGAGCTTCAATAAAAAGCTCAAGCTCAAACCCGACTTGCCTCATTCACGAGTCAACTAGAGTGAGCTTGCTCAAAATCACGAATTTTTATGCAGTTTTCCATAACTCAAGCTCGTTAAGGCTCAAGTTTATCTAGGTTTGAGATCGAATGCAACTCGTTAATAAATTATAACGAGTTGGGCCTCAATAAAAGGCTCAAGTGCAAACCCGGCTCATCTCGTGTTTACACAACTTGTTGGACTTTGACATAATTAAAGAAAGTGAATAGATAAGATGAACAATGATCTGCAAAAAACCATTTCACAATCAGATACAGCAGTACTCATCTACAAGATCATAAAAAAATAAAAATAAAAATAAACGATATACAAAAAGCCAATGAAAAATCCCATTTTTTTTTACTGCACAAAATACACTCTCTTTT